GACGCCCTGCTGCTGGTTCTTCCCTGCATCCCACCCAAAGATTCATGTTGGGAAGAGACAAAAGCTTAAGGGGGAACTTCTTGTGCCATAAAGCGGAACTGTTTAGTAGGAAAGAAAGAAAAGGGTAGATATGCCAGCAGACTGGAGATCGAACAAATAGGCAATGCCACTGAGTATTACACTTTTTGCAGGTCAGACCACTTCATTTCCCCCATGTTCATGGGTTTTAAACTACTTGAACAAATACAAATATATGTAAATATTTCATAATATTAGGACAAAGATTGAAGTGTGTGGGCTTGGTTCAAAGCAGATCATTTGTAAGACAAATAATTTGGACCAAATCAACGCAGATATATCCCCATTTGCCTTGGTTTAGCTAAAACAGAGCCCCAAAGTTGACTTCTCTCTTGCTGGCCCTTTGCATCCTGATGAAACTGCAGGTCTGGTGCCCTGTTTGTTTTCTTGTCTGTAAACTGTTGTTCTTCATTCTGGAAACAGACTCCCTCTGAATTTGCCTCTGTGGCAAATCTGCTTAGCCACACAACAATGCTGTAGGTTGGGAAGAAGAACCATTTACAAACAAGTAAAAGAACAGGGCCAAATCTGCCATCGATAGGGCCTGCAAGGAGCTCCTTCTTACCGGTGGCCCTGCCAAGATACTAGGTACTAAGGAAAGCCTCCATGTGGATCAAGGACTAAGTAAGTATTTTTACTGCCCTTTCAGATCCTTTGAAAAATTTCTCCACCGGTTGAATTTCTTTGGAACAAAAAGCACCCAGTGAACTGCACTGCACATCGAGATCATGTGAAAATTCATAGCATTCGTTTTAAAAAAATACCAGGAAATACATTATATCAGAATGAAACACTGGGAAACCTGTCAAGGCTCACATTTGAAGTTTGGATATGGGATTGATTAAAATGTGCCTATCACTCATTTTGCAGAAAGTTTAACAATGAACCCCCCGAAAACGGCATTGACATCTTTAGACATGATACCTGATAGTGCATAAGGATATGCATCACATAGTCATGAATCTCTTCAGCGATCCGGCCTTCTGGTCGCCAGGGAAAGAGTACAAACTCAATGCCAAGAAGTGGCACTAGAATGAGGGTGGCTCTGACAGCCTTCATGTAGAGGTTGGATTCGGCCTGGTGGGTAACTTTGAGCTTGGTGATCAGAACACGAACAATGTTCAAGAGGAAAAAGAGATTCACCTGCAAGGAAAATAAAAAATAATCTACTAATTATTTGCCTTAATTAAATTGCCTTAATTAAACAAACAAGGTGCCAAGCTCTCATGTCAAATAGCACTTGCTAAGCCAATCATTTCCTTCATGAGGGAAGCTCAACATCCTAGAAAGGGGCCTGGAATATCTCTGTGGGAACAAGACTACTGTTTCTAAAACAGATGATAAATTAGCACAAAACCTGTCACTGCTTAAGATGAAGGAGCTGGCCTTCAAGTCCCTGACAAGAAGGAAAATATCTCTACCCCTTTAAGCAGGTTCATTATGCTATGCTGTATGCGTTAACCCTGAATGAAGTATATTTTGTTTGCCGCAAGTTTGGCTAGTTTTCTGTTCTTCCCAAAAACTATGACCAAATTTTCAATATGTGTAGCTGAGTAAAGCCTTTCATTTGCTCACATGGGATTCAATGAGACTGAAGATCACTTATTTGCCTCTTAATCATACTGCACATTTAACAGCACACCCTTCCTAATTAGGTTAAAATTAACATTCCATGACTCCTTACTTCTCCACTTGCTCCACGCAATAGTCTTGGGAGCTACGCATTTCAGAGCTGAGGCACAAATATTTAGGCCTATTGACCACTGCTTTAGCGTGACGGTACTGTTAAGATACAGCTCTGCGACTTTTCATGGGAGTGGAAAGGAAAAATAAAGGCAGATTTCATATGGACAGAAAAGTGAGGCCTGTTTCAAAAGAGAATGCAAGAGCATAAACAAGAGACATGCCAGTCCTTAATCATGTCAGAGGATGCAGAAATAGGCAAGGAAGTTATCCGTCTGGACTATATCTAGTGCTTTATTTAGAGCTTGGGGAATTTCTTTTCTGGGCTATAAAATCTAGAATCATCTAATTGCCTTTAAAAAAACAGTTTTCCAAACACCTGTGTTGTCAAATCTATGCTAGAGGGTACAAGCCCACTATTTCTAGATTTTTCTTTGACTTCTCTTTACAGGCGGGGTGTGAACAGGGGCTCAGCAACAGAGTTTGTGCCCTTGGCTTACTTATCACGAGGTCACCAGCCTGTGTTTTTGATAGAACCCGGACAAAATTAATGATTGTGTCATATACTAAATGTTTCAATCCGAATCATAACTTCTTAGGTTATTATCTCATGGAGCAGACTTAACCGGGGCCACGGCTGGCCAAACAATCAGGGCAATGAAGTGGTTGTCGCAGGCAGTAGAATGTGAGGAGGCAGAAGGGCAGCAAATTCTGCCCTACTGACAATTGGAACGGATTTTCCCATTTACAGCAGCTTACCTTTCCCCCTTTATAGCCCATTGTGCCTCTCTTTCTGCTTTCCCTACCACCCTTAGCCTCCCGCCCTCTCCCGCAGTGATAGTGGCTCTTCCGTTTTGTTTGCTTTCCCTTCTCTTCCTTTCCCTCTGTGCCTATTACTGAAGGGTGAAGGACCAACACAATGGCACCTCAGGCCAGCAGGAAGAACCCCACAAAGTGAATAAGGAGACAAGAAGGAGGGCAGAGGCCACATGGCGCAGGGGGCTGTGAGTAATGCACTGTATAGGCAGACAGGCGCTGGGTGGGGTTGCATAAAGAGGCTAGAGCAAAGAATTTACTACTGCCTCAAGCCACTGGAGACATTAGGTTACCCCTGGTGGTCAACACTCCATGGGTACAGGAGCTTTAGTCCAAATAAGCATGCATGGGGGATCTGTTGTCAGCTATCTGTTATTTGCTTTTGAAATGGGCAAGCAGAACAATGCAATATGTTCTTATTTAAAAGCTCCTACCAAGAGAGCAGCACAAATTGGACCATGGACAATGTACAATAGATGAGTGTCTGAACGGATCCAGCAGCTGCAGAAGAGAAAAAATATTAGATTTAAGGAAGGAAATTAGTCTGCCCTTCTATATAGATAGAACTATAGATATATCAAAAATTGTGACACCTTGGCAGAATGAATTTAGTTACAACTTACTTGTCATTGAAATATATGCTTCTCGCTACAGCGTGTATGCAGGCAGGAATGAGTGGGAATCCTGTAAACAGGAAAGGACATGCTCTTTACTAAGATTTCTACATTCTGTGACTGTAAAACCAAGGACAGCAAGACTGTGGCCTCAGCCATGATGGAAACACGGACTCCTGAAGTGCTGCATCCCCCTCATCGACAACGGGCAGCATCATGGCAAGGGAAGAAAAGCTAGGCCCCATCTCTTGGCCAGACCATGACTCAAGAAGCTTATTTTTTCCTCTCTGTCCAAAGGAACTCATCTCCTAACTGCCAGTCAGCTTCAGACTGCAAAAAACCCAACCAACCAACCAACCAACCAACCAACCAACCAACCAACCAACCAACCAACCAACCACCCACCCACAACGAGAAGCGCATTCTAGCCTCAGCCACCAGCCAGGGGAAGTAAAATGAATGGTTCAGTCCAAGCACTTCTGTCCAAGGCAGGTGGAGGAGCCAAGGAAGGTGATCTTGCTGACAAAACATCCCCTTGTTCTGTTCAAAGTTTGGGAGAGTTACTTTTAGGACCTAAAATTCCCTGAATCCTCAGCCAGTGTAGCCACAGGCCATGTTCCCTCTTTTCTTGTGCCTCTTGTCTTGCTTGTATACCTTTGGTGGGACCTATGTTCTCTTTTTTAAATAGTGGAATGAAATGTTTCCATTGGAAAACTTCTTACAGATACATTATTTACCTTAAATGCAGTACTTAAATCACAGTAAAACAATGCAGAAATAGCCCAGGAATGAATATTCACATTTTCAAGTACCAAGATTTCTAACAGAGACACAAATATTTGCCGCACATGTAAGCCTTAAACTATCCCAAGTATAAACTAAGAGCGTCCTTGATACCATAAGCTAGGGAAGTGACTTTTCCATGGAAAACATAAATTGTGCAGAAGTAACCCAACGGAACAATGAAATAAAATGGCTAGACACATCATCACCCAGCCTGCACCTTCCGTGGTTAGAGCAGAGGTCTGTATGTTAAAGTGCCCTTGAAAAGGAGTCAATTCAGATGTTCTGCAAGTAATGAACTTTGTGCTTGCTGTACATCTTCTAGGAAACCCCCACTATCTAAACACAGCCTATCATAAAACAGATAAGGGTAGAAAAATTTTGACAATGGTTTCTAAGAACGCAGAACAGCTTACAGCCAAATAGAGGTGGACCAAGATCACTGCATGAATATGTGCCAGAAGCCCCAATTCCACCGTACCGGGGGAATTATTTCTAATTTGGAAAAAATGGCCACTTGATTTAGAATTTTCAGATTATTGCAGATTATATTATCCCACTTGTCAAAGGAAAATACATTTCCATTTGGCAGATATAAGCCTGTTGCCCATGTCTAGAGATGAGGACAATACCAAAGGGGACACTAAATGAAAAACATGAAAAAAAGACCTTAAATGTTTGATAGGAACTATAGAATGTCTGGCAAACCTATCATGCTGTAAACCTGCATGGACTTTGCCAGATACCTGAAATGTCTTCAAGGTGACCATCTCACATCCTGAAAGAATACCTCTTAATATATCTGTTAACCTTAATATATCTGTTAAGATAGAATGAGACCTTTGTTCTTCCTGGGTCTACAGTCATCCTTCTGGATCTTATTAGGAAAACAACAAAGCCTTTCTCTCTCTCCCCCCCCCCTTTAAAAAAATGAATTAAAAGCCACGATTTGTTCAAGCTTCAGTTTTGGCACCACTAATTCTCTTATTCAACAAATGGCGCTTGATTGAATAAGTCTGTTTCAGCTAACTTTGTGACTCAAAGGAACTTTTGGGCCTGAAAATGGCCAGATGGGTAAATCCACTAAATTGAAATGATTATTGTGAAGGACATGAATTATTCCAGATTTCACAGTGAGGCTAATGAGTACATGGAGTTAAGGCAAACATTTAAGTGCTTTACTGGAAGGCAATCCATAAAAAAAGAGCATGAACACATGCTCACACCCACAGCTGTTTTAATGTCCCTCTTACACAAACCCATATGGCCTGAGGACACCCTAGTTTGGTTATCCTAGTAATGATGGGATGGCTGCTGAAGATGTGAAATATCCAAAACCTTAATGCTACACAAAAAAACTCACGCTTTCAATCCAATCCAATGATTTTCAGCCAATGATATGTGCATTACTAGTGAAACATGGAAGTTGTCTAGAACAGCGGTCCCCAAACTTTTTAGCCCCGTGGACTGTCTGGGGAAGGCGGGACACCCCCCTGTGCTTGTGCTCATGTGTGAAGGAGTGCTCTCTCTCTCTCTTGCGGGTGCACACTCACGCGTATGTGCAAAGGGCAGTACAGCACTTGTGCAGGTATGTGCTCTTGCGCATGTGCACAGGGCAGCACAGCGCTCACGTGCAGGCGCAAATGGGCTGTGCAGGGGGGAAGCACATGTGGGGGTGGGGTCTCTCTCTCTGCAGCCCGGTCCAGTTCAGGCCATGGACCGGCACCGGGCCATGGACCGGGGGTTTGGGAACTACTGGTCTAGAAAGGATGCCAGGTTCTCATAACAATGACTAAGAATTCATCACCTCCATCCATGAGACTGGCAGGCAACCTCCAACCTCCTACCCCACCTGCCACGGAATATCCACCTGCAATTTGTCTGGCATGTTAATAACAACTTTGGACACTCAGGCCAGTATACTGTATGTGATTTACATGTACATAAGTTAAATTACTTATTGTGGCAACTTGTTGCTAATGAGGCTGGCCTCATTGCTAGGCACATGACTGCAGGACAATTGGGTACATACCTCAATAATGTGACCCATGCCTTGTTAGTAGTAATTTGCTGCAGCAAGTTGCACAGTTTAAGTTGTGCATATGGAAATCACCAACAGGATGCTGGCCTCAGTATTTCTCCTAATCACCTGTCTTCCCTGCCTATTAAAACTTGCCACAATTTAGAAACAGAATAACGTAACACAGTACCAATAACCTATGTCCTTCTGGAGAAAGAGTATCTCTTTTCTTAAATCATGGTAGGATGCAAATGCTTTGATGTAGCACTTGGTGAGATGCAACATATGACAGGCTGTGAATTACACCAGTCAATTCTTACTCAATAGAGACTGATATAAGGCCTTGAGGATGGGTTTAAAAGTATTCTTTTTTTCTGCCTGAAAAAAGCTCATTGCTTTTAGGTTTCACTAGTAGCTGGATCACATTTTCATCAATTCCAAAATAAAACTGAATTGGCCACCTCTAAACTCAAACTTAGGACATGTCTGAATCTTGATGGGCTCCTTTCATCTAGCTTCAGGCTGGATTTAGATTCCACACATGTGGCTATAAAAACAGGTGGAAGAAATCTGATCTGAAATTTGACGTCCGTAGTTCTTCCCTGCAGAACAGAACTATAATGTTATGGATGTCAGGCAGTAAAGATAGAAGCCAAAGATTTTACTGGGAGCTGCTAGAGTCTGTGAAAGCAATAACAAATTCAAATATTGAGGCAGTGATTGGTAGACTATATATTAAGTATTGGTTTTGCTGCAGAAGAAACTTTATGAAATGGAGGTTAGGTTGCCAAACAGTTCCATCCTGATTTATTTCTGACATTTTATTTTTTTAAATACTATACACTTAAAATAAACATGTAAGTACCAGCTTATTTTGTTTTGTGGATGCAAAGAAAAAATTTCAAAAGTTTACTTCCATTTTTGATGGCGTTATGAGAGGTTTTGTGCAGTTTAGCATGTTGGAACCTTTTTGGAAAACCAAATCGTATTTTGTGTAAAACCTCTAGTTTGTGTAAATTACAAAATGCAAATGAACAAACCCCTCCCCCAAACCTCAACTAAAAAAAACACCCCAAAACAAAAACACAAGAACCACAAAACATCACACTCCACTTTTTGCTGATGCCACTAAAGCTTTAGAAAGGGTTGTTCTTTACACTCTTCTGCAGGTGGAAAAAAAAATCTTGCAATGGCTGACAATGTTTCCAGCATCCTTACTCATTGAGGATGTGGAAACTCATGAGTGTTCATTGCATCGTTACTCTAAAATAACACGGAATAATAAGATTTAGCATTGGTTGTACTGTATAAATTTGCTGCAGGTCAGTTTCCAACACTAGGATTAATACCTACACAAACTCGTATACACAGTTAAATTGTTTAGGAGGATTTCTCATTATACGTGACTAACTGGAATAATGGAACACTAAAATCAACCTTATAGAAACGGAATGATTTAACATAAAGCAGAATATTTTAACAACACTGACATTTTTCAACTATAAATCCAAGCTATACTCATTGAGGATGTGGAAACTCATGAGTATTCATTGCATCCTTACTCTAAAATAACACGGAAGAATAAGATTTAGCATTGGTTGTATAAATTTGCTGCAGGTCAGTTTCCAACACTAGGATTAATACCTACACAAACTCGTATACACAGTTAAATTGTTTAGGAGGATTTCTCATTATACGTGACTAACTGGAATAATGGAACACTAAAATCAACCTTATAGAAACGGAATGATTTAACATAAAGCAGAATATTTTAACAACACTGACATTTTTCAACTATAAATCCAAGCTAGATTAAAGCAAAGTGTGCTGCTTATATACCACCCCATAGCGCTTCAAGCACTCTCTGGGCAGTTTACAAGTTAATTATGCAGGCTACACATTGCCCCTCCCCCAGCGAGCTGGGTACTCATGTTACCGACCTCGGAAGGATCGGAGGCTGAGTCAACCTTATGCCGCTACCTGGGATTGAACCCCAGGTCGTGAGCACAGTTTTGGCTGCAGTATTGCGGTTTAACCACTGTGCCACGAGGCTCTCTCTCATTAAGTCTTGATGACTCTAATAAAAACGACATAAAATGCCTAAATACAGTGGTGCCTTGCACAACGGGCGCCTCGTAGAGCGATGAATTCGCTCTACGAGGCCGTTTTTGCAATCGCAAATGCGATCGCAAAACGGTGCCCGTATAGGCGGGAAATCGCAGAACAAAGGTCGGTAAGCTGCTCGCTTACCGACCTTCGCTTTGCGACCCGACAATCAGCTGTTCCGCGGCTTCAAAATGGCCGCCGGAACAGCCAAAAGGGGCCAGGGCACAGCGTTTTCGCATCTCATTAAGTCTTGATGACTCTAATAAAAACGACATAAAATGCCTAAATACATGGAAATGCATAAATTAAAGCTGCCCGCTGTGCGGGGCACCACTGTACATGGAAATGCATAAATTAAAGCCGCTAAATTTGTTTTTAAAGCTTCTAGATATGGCACGTGATTGCGAGAAGTTACACACTCAGCATGTATACAAAAATGGATCTCAAACTATAGAAGGCATGCTATGTCACCTATTTAAAGATAGATGTGCTAAATTTTATTCACTGGGTTTTTTAAAAGGTAAGAGATAATTCATGTGACAATTTGCCCATGGTAGCTCCCTCTCAGTTTTTGACCATGCCCAAAATGTCATCTCTCTGATCATGGACCAGTGTGCTCCACTGTTCAAGATGACCAATTGGAGTAGAAACACACAGTAAAACCTCATGTGACTACTACGGTACATCGGTGCTTCAGAGTTCTATGCCACATAAAAGAGCATGGTTCCAGCCTATGCAATCACAGGATTTGTAGGCACTTTGAATTTACTGATGGAGGACTCTTGGAACGTTGGCTCAAATTTATGCACATGACGGTAAGGAACTAGAAATGACCTGGAAACAAATATGGATAAGGTCGATGTATCACCATCTTTAAACTGAACGGCATGGCCTGGCCATCTAATTCTATGGGTTTAGTTCAATCCTGTGCCAAGAAAGTCAGGCAGAGCTGAGTGTCTATTCTATTTTATTGCTCTGTAAGAATGAAATAAATACTTGCAAATTTTCTCATCCTTGACGACAGAAGATGTCTCAGGACATTAAGACACTCCACTGAAATGATCAAGGCTCTTTCCCCCCCATTTTTTTACAGCCATAGGAGCAAAAAGTGATTTTATGGAACCCCTCCCCCTTTTCACATTCAAAACAAAGCCCTTTCAATTTGCACAAAAACAAGCTTTTGTGTACCAAATACTGTACAAAGACTGGTTGGTAAATAGGTGGGTTTTTCGTTCTTTCTTTTTTTGACACAGAAACATACTTGTGCAAATTCGGTACATAAAAAGTAAAAATGTTCTCCTCAATGGGAGAAAAAAAAACAACTTTTTTTCCATTTCCATAAAACAATTGTTCCTTTCCACAAAACAAATGGCCTATGTAAATACTTCCAAGATGAGAAACAATGACTAACGAACCCTTTAATGCCTTTTCCTTCATAAGAGAGTTGTGAGAATGCAATGAGCAAAGAGGTACACCTCTGTTGCTTAGTTCATCCCCACATCTCATTTTCTAGATTACTTTGATGACAGGGCTCTGAACAAGAGGGTCTTCTGTATTTCCAGGTGTCTGGCGGAGACTGGTGAGAGGAAACGGCAAGGTAATGTGTGCTGGTCCATCAGAAAACCCCTCATATCCTTTGTCCAGGTAAGGAGCTATAACTATGGGCCACTGCTTATGCCTTTCTGCTCTCTTTCTGCAAATGGGACTCTGGGTGTTACATTGGATAGAAACAGAAGGAGGTTACTTGTATTGTCAGAATGAAAAGTCACCTTTTTATGGCCTTTCTTGCCCCAGTAAAGCTAGGGGGCCATTCATGGTGAAAGGTAATTCTTAATTAACTCTATTTGAATTTCTGCTGTTAATTCCTTACTACTGCTTGAGACAGTATGAGGACTACATGGCTTTAAAATTAAACTTTTCATGTACTTCTGCTTTTTGCCTGACACTGTGCCTGACAAGGAGATATATTATCCCAAACGTCCGTGCAAAGAATTACATACCTTTTTAGTTGGCCTAATAAAGATATTAGCACAATACGGATTTGGGAATTTGCTTTATGACCAATAATGTGGTTTCCCCCTGCATTCTGAGGTAGCAAAACGCAGAAAGGAATAACCAACCAACCAACATTCAAGTTGAACATATCTTTGTGGATTGGATTCACCAGTGTTTTTTCTCAGAGGGATAAGGGAATCCAAGTAGGTCTAATTTGTTTTAATAAGCAAATGAGCAAAGAACCATAAAAACCTAAGTGCGGTAAAATGTCCGCCTACATCAGAAATGAATGTCTCCCTGCCTTACATACTGTTCTGCACTCGAGTTGTTTCATCACAAGTAATGTTCCCCCAGCTGTTCGAACAAGCAAGTCAAAAGGAACTGCTGAGAAAATAAACAGTGGATCAACCTCCTACCCTAGGACTGGACAGACATCTTTGAAAACAAACAGTAATCCCTGTATAAACACCTCTAAGATGAGAAACAATGAATAATTACCCTTTATTGCCTTTTTCATAATCAAATACTATTTTCTCTATATCAAGGAGGAATCATTTCCTGGCTTGACTCAAAGCCTGTCTCTTTTAGCCAAGATAAGATTGGTTGTTATCTCACACACTCCAAAGCTGTGGCAAAAAGTTTATTCTCCAGTTGAAACAAAGGGGCAAATAAGCAAGACATAATTTATTGCTTCTTTGATTCTTTAGTTATGGGAGTAAAGCTTCTGTGATTACCATCTGCTTATGTGCTCCGTTTAATGAAGTTTATCCAAATTCTCCTTAGTCCAAATTCCCGTAAGCCTACTGTCCTCAAACAGACATTTATATACCTGACTGGAAGACCATAAAAAGGAATAAAGGGAATTAAAAAAGAAGGTGAAGACAATAAAAGGAAGGAAATGAGCCTACCCCAACCAAGAAGGTAGTACCACATTAAGTGCTGTTTTTCCGCAAATACTGCCACCACAATGAGTGTGTGCAGGTAAACGCCTTCACAGAGCATCCAAAAGTAGTTGCACACCAACAGATACAGCTGTAGGAAGTGAGCCACTTTGCATCCAACCTGTGAGGAAAAGATACCATAGGCTTTATCCCAGGTTCAAACCACATCTCTTCCTATGTCACAGACAATGAAAAAAAAAGCTGCATTTTAATTGATTTAAGAACAATTTAGATGTAAAAAAAAAATCTGAATTATTTTGGTTCCCCTCCCAGGTGCTATATCAACACCATATATGTCAGTTAACATAAAGAAATTCTTCCTCCACTCTGCATCTCAGTTTTCCAAAAGGCCTCTCTGGATGGAATCAAGGAGGGATCGGGAACTTTCCTCCAATGTATATTTTTAAGTCAATGTCTCTTTGACTTCAACCCCAATTTGGGCTAATGCTTTTCTCTGCAAATACTCTCAAGCACCAAACCACATTCTTCAAGAGGACCTCTCTAAACTTCTGGACAAACAGGTTGCAGAAGCAGAGCAGAGGGTGCTCTATCCATGAGGCTGTATGTCTGTGGAAACGTACTGGAGAGTAGGTTCCATTGAATATTTCTGAATAAACATGCAAAGACGTCTGCTGTAAGCTAACTTATCCAGGATAAAAATCACAGCCATTAAAAAAAATGAGTGTGTCATCAGAGACTGTTGAACCAATACTAACGAAAAATAGGCAACTTGACATTTATGTGTTATGGACTGTGTGTAAAAATTCTTATGTTTTATCGTATACACCTTATTGGAAGCCGCCCAGAGTGGTCGACCAGACCAGATGGGCGGGATATAAATCAATCAAACAAACAAACAAACAAATAAATAATTTACGGACACAATATAGACTTCCATTGTCTTTAAACAAACAAACAAACAAACAAATAATTTATGGACACAATATAGACTTCCACTGTCTTAACAGAAGGCTAGGAATGTAAATTTGGATTTTTTTAATGTCCAAGTATTCAGAATTCAGACATTTATCATCTGGTTTGCTGTCTCTGAGCCCCACTAGTGTATACTTACTACATTATCATCTAGTGTATGACGCAACCACCATTGTTAGGCTTCACAGTGTCACTTTTTAAATTTTTGCTTCTCACCTGTCTTTAACAATTTTAAGTGTTTCTTCTGTCATTCATCTAAGCCTTCTTTTCTTTTTACTACAGTAAGTGTCTTTTTGCATTCTTCCCTAATAATATGTCTGGTTTCAATCCACAGTTTTTCTAGTTGATGGTCAATTGAGTTTAGTAATGCAAAACTATTCTTTATGTGGACTTTAAATTCCTCAGAAATGTTGTTTAAATTTTATTTTGGCACCAGAATACTGTTCTTCTTTTCTTTGAAACATATCATTTAATCTTCCATGAAACAAGGGACATTTCTTGATGAATGCTTTGAATCTCTGTTCTATATACCTATAGTTGTTTTAAATTTTATATTGCTGGGAAGGAATACAATAATCCATCACCCCCAAATAAAACAACCAGAATATTGCCAGATTTATGCTTGTGTAAGAGAAAAAATTGTACATCATGTTGACAAACTGTTGCTCATTAACAAGGTGCTGGCTGGGTTCCTGGGCACATGCATGATTGTGTGATCGGGCGTGTCCCCAAGAATGCAACCAGCAACTCATGGATAGCAGCATTTTCCCATTAAGACTTGTACGATTTCACTCACACAAGGAGTATATACATTTCCCGGATCCTATCAAGCAACAGAAGGTGAATGCATCAAAAGAACACTTAATTCTTTAATTGTGTTATTATACTGCAACTCCCACCAACCCTTGCTAACCCTGAAAATGTGGAGGGACGACAGGAGCCGCAATTCAATGACATCTGGAAGACTGCACATTGCTCACTCCTGCTATAATGGCCCAAATCCTACTGCATAATTTCACTTGTAGAAGGCAAACAGCATAAGTTGCAGTGCCTTCTTGCTGGCAATGAAGAACTCCCCACTTGGATTTTCGGGTACGTGACAACTCTTTGGATTGGCATGTGCACAAAAATACAAGCGTGCACTTGTTAATTAGCAGTGAGAAGCTGCTGATGCTTACATCGTTTACTTTCTCCATGTTAAATTATGTAACAAGATTTTGGCCAATAAATGGAATGGTTCAGAATTCAAATGAACTAGTGTTGTATCTTCCCAACAATTAAGGAAATCATGGGAACAAGAGCTTTCGGCCTACCAGCAAACAGTCCCCAGTCATGTGAAGGCATCCACACTCGTACACAAATACCGTGTTTCCTTGAAAGTAAGACAGGGTCTTATAGTAATTTTTGCTCCAAAAACGTATTAGGGCTTATTTTCAGGGGATGTTTTATTTTCTTCATGTACAACAATCTACATTTATTCAAATACAGTCATGTCATCATCTTCTGGTTGCTGCACAGTGGTGGAGGACGGGGTTTCACTTAACTGGGGTTTCTTTTGGGTGTAGGGCTTATATCACAAGCATCCTGAAAAATCATACTAGGGCTTATTTTCAGGTTAGGTCTTTTTTTGGGGAAACGGTATAATGTGAAGCAAATGTACATGGACATAGTAAACAATAATTTCGATAATTCCTCTGACACTTCTTCAGCTGCACCAGTTGAGTAATAGTGATTGTCTACTGGCAATCACACAGTTCTCATGGGATGTCATGCATAGGACGTGCATGACGGGGAATCACCAGCAATGGATGGACACAGAGCATGGGAGTGGAACTGCTGGGGATGTCGGGGTGCACTTGTATCTCTTAAACCAGTGGTTCCCAACCTTGGGGTAATCCAGGTGTTCTTGGACTGCTATTCGCAGAAGTCTTCACCACCAGCTGTGCTGGCTGGGGTTTTTGGGAGTTGCAGTCCAAGAATACCTGGGTTAACCAAGGTTGGGAACCACTGTCTTAATCCATTGTTGTCCCCAATTTCACTTCCACATTTCTTCTAAACTGCTTCCTGTAGTTTTGCTTACAAAACCAGACTTACATTAACCCTTCTGTCTTGTTTATAAGTAGAATCAATTGTCCATCAGGTTCACAGGGAGTGTCCACTTTAGTTGGTCAGCATCAGGAAAAGCCAGGGGCATGAAGTCCCAAAGGCCTTTTATGGGCATGTTTCGGTTTTGTTATACAGAATTTCCTTGGTTAGGCAGTCTCTTCCTTACAGCAGAATCAAAACCACATGATCTCAGAGGTAAGTGCCACTCATTTAAACGGGAGTACCCTCACATCATGCCTCTGAGACTGTAGACCAGCTGCACCTTTTCTGCCTCTGCCACTGAAATGCTGCTTCTTACGAAACAACAAAGTAACTATGGTCACGTCCACTTACTGGATTAGCCGCAACGAGCTGTTGATTGTTGGCAACTCCTGTCAGACAAATAATTGTGACGACAGAGTTGCAAACAAAAGAGAAGAAGAGGTTTTTGTGTAAGGTGATCCTCTGGCAACTCAGGCTCCTGTAAGGAAACACGTGGGGAGTCAAGAAAAAGTCATATAGGCAGTCACAAAATTTCCTGTTGATTCTCTGCTTTGTCAAAACAGCACAAAATAGGGCAGCCTGTAAAAGGAAGCACTCGGCAATGACCTCTTTTTTTGTCCTCACCATATCCAGATCCTTGTGGCCAGTCGTGATATGAGATGACCCAAGTGCTGGAAGATAACAAATTATCTGGGAAGCTTATTCATGTCAAGTTACTCTAAAGAGAGCTACAGATAGTTTCGGTTTGAAACAGTATTGCCTCCTGACTGAAGAAAGGAGACCAGCCGCCTCTGATATATTCATTGAGTAAAAATAGATAGGCCTGCTGAAGCAGCCAAAAGCATCTTTAGCCCTTTGAGGACTTCCTCTGTCAACGTTTTTGTCACTCCACTTTTAAGGACCGACAGTGGGGTCTCAGCAACTAAACATTTTTGCTACAGCCTGAAAGCCCTATTCGGGCATTTCTGAAGCCTAAGGAATATACAGGAAGCGAGGTGGCCCTGCACCTACCTAATGCCACTTCCAAAACATGGGTTATTGGGGGGGGGGATACAGCAGTCTCCCCCTCTTCAGACAGTTGCTTTTGTGTGTTGAAAGCGATTGCGGGTGTGTGTGAGAGAGGTTAATGCACTCCATCGCAGACAGGCTCCACACACTTTACAAACACCAGAACAGGATGTGAGTTAAATTATGCTCTCTAGAACAGGCATGTAATGGCCTGTTTTCACTGTCCTGGCAAAACTGGGGCATTGATTTTTCTGACTGATGAAGGAAGAGCGTGGAAGCAAGAGGACGAATGATACCAGGCTGACATGTGACACAGAGGCCTTTGTGCTGGCAGCAATTGCAAGGGTCTTTGAAAAGGCCTCTGGCTGGCAGAATCCTTCTTTATTTTCTGAAATGCCACCTGGTAATGCCACTGTTTGATCTTGTGGTGATGTTTCCAGATCCATTTAGCGTCTCACACAATTTGCTAACAACCTGATCTAGAACAGGACTACCACATGGGGGCGGGAACAGGTCAAAATTCCCCCTCACCTCTGAAACTCTTATTTGCCTGAAGTTGACCCCTCTGCTCTTACTAAGAAAGGGGGGGGGGAGCCAGTAAAGGTTTTCTGTTCTTTCTTTTAGTCGTTGTGTGGTGGTTGTGATAGTAATTAAGGAAAATGTGTGGTTGAGAAGGGGGGGAGGTTTATATATCTCCTACTGCATCTTGGGATCTCAGTCTAGATCCGAAGCCTGTCCCCTTGTTGTATGTTTTTTTTAAAAAAGAGAAAGGGGAGGGGGAAAGGGATCAGCTGCATGCTTCTTATTTGATGTGTGGAATAATTTCAGCCACAGCTGTCTGGTGTAGACAAAACAGGAAACTAAGGTTAATCAGATGTTTCTTGGTGTGACTACTTGTACTACAAAGGGAAGAGTGAAGGCTTTGCACATGAAGGCAAAAGACAAAGATATGATTCTCTGAACAAAAACCAATGTAAATTGTTCTTAAATGTTACTGCTTCAGATTTTTTTTATGACTGGCACAGTGGATAGCATATCCTCAAAGGATTTTTAGACAGGGTGTGTTCTATATGTACATTAAGAACTGCTTGATTGGATTTATGATGGAAGTGGCTCAGTAATGCTCACTGAAAAAAATATTAGGACTCCTCATTCTCTAAACCTGAAAAAGTTACTTCTGTGGACTATCTTAACTTGAATCCCACAGGCAGTATGGCTATTGACTGGGGCATTCAAGGGACTGTAGTTCAAGGAATGGATGCTTTGACTCAGTAAGATGTACATAAGTATTGATTCACAATGCAGAAATTGATTCAGTCCATCTACTCTACTCTGGCTGGGATTAGCAATTGGATTAAGTTTCCAAACGCTATTTTTCCATTACAGAGACCTGAACAAAGCAAAGGAAAGATTGACTCAGGGCTTCTTCCTCGTCTGGTTTTCTTTCATTTTACATATAAAGGCTAAAACCAAAAGAAGTGGGTGCCATATTAAATATTACAGTTAAATAGTAACACTTACTTAAAATAGAAGAATATGCCAAGAGAAATCAACAGTGAAACGAGTGAGAGGCTGTGCCCGATGATAGTGAGATAATACATATTGAGTGCAGTCTGCAATAAAAAGAGAGAGAGAGAGAGGGCTGAAAATTCAAATAGAAAGAGTACACACAATGTCCATCTACCCCACATATTCTGAACAAAATATGGCCGGTCAAGAGACAGAGCATTAGCGATCATATATTAGCAACACTTCCGTTCCTGTAACATCCTTCCCCAACATATTGGTTCTTGCCTGCTCTATAGCAACCATTCCCAACAGGGGCCATATGGCCCACCTGGGGGACCCTGGCACATTTGACGGGGTCCACAGACCGGAAACCATTCTCCACACCCCACCTTATAAGGCTTGATTTACACAGCGCTGATTCAGCCTATATTTCTTTCATATTGTGTTTAGGGTGGTGCTCCCTCCCCCACAAAAAAAGGTTGAGAATGGCTGCTCCAGACTACAGTTGCCACTCTCCATGTCAGGCCGCAAGATCAAGCAGGGATAATGGGAGTTGCAACTTACAAATATTTGGGGAACATGAGGAAGGGGAAGGTTGGTCTATCCCAGGAGTGGGCAAGGTGCAGCTCAAGAGCCACATGTGGTTGTTACGTATTTATGCAGAATCCCGGCGTCCCATGGCCCCATCCTCTTCTGACAAAATTAAGTCCACTATAGCCATCAGAAGCCTCCAGGACTGATGGTTCATCCTCTGAAACATTAGGGGCACCTTACGAAAACACAAAATAACCTCTATCCTGCTCCCGCCCCACCTCCAAATTCGAAGAGTATTTCTAGCCACTTTTGAGTTTCCCACCCTGGCCCTTCTGAAATCTACCTGGGCCCTTTTGATGGATCCCAGGGGGGCTGACCTTTGGCCTGCCAGTAAGAGAAATCACCAAGGTGGATACTGTCACTAGAACACTTTCAAGGGTGCCATCTACCAAATTCCCTCATTTCAGGATTTAAAATAGAACCTAAAGATGCTTCTCTTTTGCTAGATATTTCAATGACCAGTGGCTGGTTTTCATCTGTTCCATTCTTCCACTGTTTTAGCCCTTCTTTGTTTGGTTTTATTGTATTGTTTAAATGTTTTCATCTGTTTCATTCTTCCACTGTTTTAGCCCTTCTTTGTTTGGTTTCATTGTATTGTTTAAATGCTACCTTTTATTGCATGCTACCTTGACCATGCCCTGAAGGCTGGTTTAAAAATAATGCAAATGAATACATGGATGAACTTCTACAGACCAACCTGTTTACATATATAAAAACCTATAAAGTCACCAAGTGTTCAAGGCAAATGATTGGCTCAATCAAATCCTAGGGGTTATCTCTCCTCCTCATAAAACTTCCATAGGTACCATATTTCTCCATAGACTGCATATGACATCTATCTATCCCAAAGAATTTACTAATTCATTGTTCAACTCTGCTTATTTTCAGCATGGCTCTTTGAAGTCATGGGACTTCTTCATAATTTGAGAAGTGTAAATGTCATTTTGCACAGCAAAAGAACAACCAGTTCTACTTTTTCTGAATACTTTGTTTTTAAAAGCACGTTTAGACTTTCCGCTTGAATCATTTCACACTGTGCCTCTGTGAAAGACACTCAGCAAACAAAATGCTTCTGAGGTGCTTTCATAAAATCCATGTGTATTGTGGGAGGATATTAAAGCAGTGCATGAAAGACATCTAAATAAACTGTAATCAACACAGAACTGCTAATGTCTTTGGGGAAGGAGAAGTAAACAAATACTGACACAAAGACAAGAGGAGATTATGTGATACAAATTGCAAATAATAGAATATATGCCTGGAACAAATTCATTTGCACCACAGACTGGCTTTACTTTCTCTCTCTGTCAATCATTTCTACCACAATTGGAAAGTGGCACGTCCCAGTATGTGGAACTGTCACAGAGAAGGAGGGCTGCCTCACTCCAAATATTGGCAGGCAGGGAGGAATTCCCTGTTCTGACCATGAACTGCACATGGGTAAGGGCAGTATTGCAGCAGAAGCGACCTAGGTCACTGGTGCTATGCCACTTGTGCCCCCCTCCCCACATCTCTCTTCACTTTGTATATAAGTGCTGCCCTCTATTATGGAGAAAGCCAGAGAGTTCCAGAAAAAGATCTACTTCTGCTTCATTGACTATGCAAAAGCCTTTGACTGTGTGGACCACAGCAAACTATGGCAAGTCCTAAAAGAAATGGGCGTGCCTGACCACCTTACCTGTCTCCTGAGAAACCTATATGTGGGACAGGAAGCAACAGTTAGAACTGGATATGGAACAACGGATTGGTTCAAAATTGGGAAAGGAGTACGACAAGGCTGTATATTGTCTCCCTGCTTATTTAACTTATATGCAGAATACATCATGTGAAAGGCAGGACTGGATGAATTCCAGGCCAGAATTAAGATTGCTGGAAGAAATATCAACAACCTCAGATATGCAGATGATACCACTCTGATGGCGGAAAGTGAGGAGGAATTAAAGAATCTCTTAATGAGGGTGAAGGAGGAGAGTGCAAAAAATGGTCTGAAGCTCAACATCAAAAAAATAAAGATCATGGCCACTGGTCGCATCACCTCCTGGCAAATAGAAGATATGGAGGCAGTGACAGAGTTTACTTTCTTGGGCTCCATGATCACTGCAGATGGGGACAGCAGCCACAAAATTAAAAGATCCCTGCTTCTTGGGAGGAAAGCAATGACAAACCTTGACAGCATCTTAAAAAGCAGAGACATCATCTTGCCGACAAAGGTCCGCATAGTCAAAGCTATGGTTTTTCCTGTTGTGATGTATGGAAGTGAGAGCTGGACCATACAGAAGGCTGACCGCCGAAGAATTGACGCATTTGAACTCTGGTGCTGGAGGAGGCTCTTGAGAGTCCCCTGGACTGCAAGGAGAACAAACCTATCCATTTTAAAGGAAATCAACCCTGAGTGCTCACTGGAAGGACAGATCCTGAAGCGGAGGCTCCAATACTTTGGCCATCTCATGAGATGAGAAGACTCCCTGGAAAAGACCCTGATGTTGGGAAAGTGTGAAGGCAAGAGAAGGGGACGACAGAGGACGAGATGGTTGGACAGTGTCATCGAAGCAACCAACATGGATTTGACCCAATTCCGGGAGGCAGTGGAAGACAGGAGGGCCTGGCATGCTCTGGTCCATGGGGTCACGAAGAGTCAGACACAACTTAATGACTAAACAACAAAGCTGCCTTCTAATTCTAGTATATAGTTCCACCGTGTAGGGCTGGCACAAGGTTCTCCACTCCCTTTGCAATCTGAGGTCTGAATCTGAAGTTCCATCAGAGGTTGACATGGAACTGTCTTCTTCTCTCTTCCCCCCCCCCCACAGCCCTTTAGTCAGGATTAGCTCCAAAGAATTTGACTAAGACCTCAAAACCTATCTTTGGGGCTGCATGGAGTGGTAGTGAAGGAGGCTGCCCCCACCTGATTCTGCTAAAACTCATTGTTTTGCCCCTTTATGCCCGGTGCTGGACACAACCCTAAGTTATAATTGTGTTTTATAAGGCCAATTTATGTGTTTAATCTTCCACAGAAAAAGTGGATATAAGGATCAAGTACACATGTGAACTTGGGTGGGATAACCAGGATGTAAAGCAAACTAATTAGCTCTCTTCCCAGTCTATGTATAATCTCTTCGTTAGCCAGTGCACATGCTGTTAGACAAAAATGAATTACTTTAGGATGAATGGAACAGCCAAAGGATTCTTTCTGTGGAGGTAATCAGTTCCTCTCCATTATTTCAGAAAACGAACTAATTTTTCTGACGCAAGTCCTCATCCACTGAGGACAAAAGACACAAATAAATAGTTGCAAAGCTTAGTAAGCTCTGAACATCTTTCTGGTCTATCTTCAAGCAAGGAAAAAAATGTCCCCATTTGCTTCCTAACAAGAATGGCTAAAAAGCTACTCTCCTGCCAGCTATTCCTGTCTGATGATTCACCCTGCATGTTCATAAAGCCCATTCTCCACAGCACACCTGCTTCCAGCAGGGGTGACAAACAGGATAACTAGGACAGAAGTAAGTAAGCATAACTAAAAGGAAATCAGATACTTGGTGCTTACTCTAGGCAAACAGGTATATAGCTTCAGTCTAAATGCATTTCAATGTCACTGGAATAGCAGTTCAATGGAATTGGGAAGGAAATATACATGGAGCAAAGTTAAAAAAAATGGTTGTCTATGTTTTGAAATTTCTAGAATTTGGAACATGAAGTTTAAAAATGATTTAAAGTCAGATGTTACAAATTGGGAAATGAACTCGTTGATGTCACTATTTAAAGTGAAAATATTTAACTTGTTGAACTAGTGTTATTAACACATTCATTTCAATATTTGTTTAATGAACTCTCCAAAAGCAATAGGTGTCCATTCATATACTGCAGAGGGAGAAATATCTCTACCTTCCTTTTAAAAACGGGTTTGTAACAGACAGCTTAATCTACTTAAAAGAGAAACAAAAATAATCTGTAAACCTCACAAATCTTAAGTCAAAACAGCTAACCATCTACATACTTACTTCCTTTAAATTTCTAGAAGTTGTACCTTAACATGAGGAGCAGGTAACAACTAAAAACTTTGCCTCTGCAGAAAAATAGTTACTGCTTTTAAACGTCTTTTGTTGTTATGTGTCATCAAGTCAGAGCTGACTTATAGAAACCCTAATTTCAAGATAATCGAGGTACACAGCACAAGCAGTGGCTTTACCAGTTCTACAACCACTCACAGTCTGTTCCCATGACAAAAATTAGGGAATCAGCCCCAAGTCTCCTGGGTCCTAGTCCATCACTCTGCCTGCTATAACCACGCACAGGACCCTTAAATTTCTTTTGCAGAGAGCACTAGAACAACCTTCTCTTTAAAGGACAGATTTCATTGAGCCCATCCCCTCCTCTCCTCTGATGACCTTTCTAGCCTCAGACTGCTACTGAGGTCATAGCGATCCTACTTCTTTGGACCTAAAACAGATCAGTTATAGTGTTCCCCTAATGAAAAAGAAAAAACTGTTTCAGTCTCCCACAGATTTTTTTAAAAAAATTTTTTAGTAGAGCCAAAACACAAACCAGAAGCCTCCGAGCAAGATAAGAGAGAGACGATTTCCATGGCCCCTCCCCTAAACGCTTCCGTACATGGGAAAGGAAGAACTGGTTGAATGGCCGATCCTATGAGCGCCTGATAATTTGCTTATTTTATTTTATTTTT